CTGCGGAAATTCATTGCCATTTTTACCCCCACGTGTGTCTTGTGTCTGTCACGAGCGCGTGGACACGTCGGATATTGCGGTTAAACAAGGTCTGACTGGTGACGGGAGATTCTACTGCGCACCGACTGACCTGATTACGAACGGGGGAGGCTACTTCACTGGGGTCGCTCGTCTGAACATGACTGGACCATTCTACTGATTTCCTTTCGTAGAAAAAGGCCTGTTTCTATAGTATCTTACGTCTGATCAGCGCAGATCAATTCTACTAGGCTGTCAAGTTAACCTCTTGAGGGATACTGGCACGTATGTGAATGTTTAGTTTTTCACTAGGAAACTAATAACTCAATATTCATTAGGAAATTCCCTAAGAAGAAAGGATATTCTACCAAAAAATTGCCGTTCATATTGATAAATATATGTTAACTAATAAGAGCCCAAGAATAAGAAAACTGATTTTCCTGGTATTACTAAGTTGGTCCTTGAAGAGGTTAAAATAACATGTTCTACCGAGACTGTGTTCCGTTTCTATTTTACCACAATATCGTGCACAACTCTTACGATTACAGCACCTTCTGATTCTCCTTCTATCCCGTCTAATTTTCGTTTTACCATCTCGTATCACCGCAATATTCGAAAACGTAATTCGGATTAATATCTCAGATACCCGTAGAACACCTTAGACCACCGGGACACAATAAGCCAGGATATTAAATTCCATTCGATACACGAGCATAAACGTGCTCGATCATATTGATTCAGCGACACCATAGGTGCACAGCCGACGTTTGTGCAGTGTTGAATTTCATGCTTCGATTAATCGCCCAGGAAAGGTAACTGGTTCTTTTTTTTTTACTAATTTCAAGCACAACGCAATATAAAATTATTCGACACCATCGGAAAATATACAGGGTGAACGTTTATCCAGAGCGACTTCGCATCCAGGCTCAGACTAAATGGCAGAGGGGCAGGTAGTGCTACGAACGTGAACGAGTTTTCCGGTCGGCTACGACCGTTCTAACACGAAAATTACGTGAGGTATGCGAACATGAACAAGTATGTTCTATGAGTAAAAATAAGAAGAACATGTTATATAAACATAGGTCTGCGTATCTTACCTTTATAATAATTTTTATTATCATGTTTTATTAGATTGAAAAGAAGTTTATTTTCGGAGAGTGAGTTTATTACTCTCCGAATTTTATTTTTATGTAGCTTTGGTTCAGTGAATGCACTATGAATCCTTCTATTAGTTCTTGCAATGAATTGACGTGTGAACGATACACAATCGTAACAACGAACTCGCTATTGACTTTAGGTTTCATACTTTTATTATAACTTTTTTATAAAGCGTTTACAGACTTGTGTTCATATATTTTGTTTTCTGATTTTTATATAGAGAACATACTGGTGCAGTTTAATCGTTTAATCCTGGGTCAGCCTATATAAATATTTGCTGTGTGACTGTGGTAGGCGCGTCAGCGACAGAGTATAAATGCTACGAGAATAAGCGTTGCGCCGTGACACCGATGGAAACCGTCCAAAAGCTCTCGCGTTTATAATTCGTCCATTTCCGGGAACCGATTCACGTGAACTGAACGCAACGACGTGGGGTCTTACCAACCGGATTGTGAGAAAATAAAAAATAAAAAACTATAAGATTCCTCTCTACAGGGAGCGTACTTTGACAATTGAAAATTTTCTATTCCTATCCTGTATTGCCTGAGAAAAGTTTATGTTTTTGATTTAATTTATGAAGAATCCATGTCTTTAGTAGTTCGAAATTATGGCGAATATAATTGTATTAATCGTATATAATTATGAATATGTCAATAAACCCTGTGAATCCCTGGACTTCTCCAGTTCCCAAGCCTCTTTCAGGCATAGAATATACATATATGTAGAACGTAATTGTTACCTACAATTGACTAATTCTAATTGGATTGTATACTAAAGGGTTTTGATACCAGTATATATCAATAAATAAGTAAATAAAAATGGAGAAGAGCTCCCTGTAATATCTATTTTTCCCTTTTTTTCTAAGCAGAGAGAACAGTCCGCTTCTCGCCGTTAGCACGGATTCACCACGAGAGATGAATGCGGGCTCGTTTGCTTCGGGGCTCGTTTCACGCTCTCCTTGTGCGCCCTTTTTGCACGGATAAGGAGAAACACCATCGTGTTTTAGATACCGTTGAAACGATAAAAAACCGCGCGATGGAATGGAACCGGTTACCCAAGAAAACGGACATTTTGCAGAACACGGAGATCTTCTTTCTACCGATAAATCATCACGGAAGCAATGTCCGAACCTTAAGGTTTCTTCTGCGTTCCAGAAACGAACGTTCGAACCAGGAAATTCGAAGAAAAAAAAACATACCACGTCTGTCTTCTCGTCATGACGGTTTTCACGATGCTTTCGGACGTTTCGAATCACAGAACGAGAGGAAAGACACGATCGGTGCGACAGAACGGGAATTTAGGCGATGGAAATGATATAGTGTGTGCTCCATAAGAAAAAACCCTCGAGGTTATCGTTCATGCCGCAACTCAAGCGGTTTCATACATTTTTCTACATTTTCCACTTATTTTTTCTACGTAACTTTCAGAGGCACCCAATGCGTTCCCACAATCACAATATATCCTTTCCACCAGGTACATTAACCCTTTAAGTGTTATTTCATTTTGAAAACTTGCACTTGCGTGCTTAATTAATTTTAAGCTACCGTACGAGTGTACTCGACAAAAAAGCAGAGTACATGCATTTGCTGTAAAATTGAAATAAATTCTAATAAAACCACAAAATTACTCTAGCGTTAATTGAACGTCATCTATTCTCAAAAAAAGTCACTGCCTTTTCAAACAGCCTTCGTACATACACTGCTGCATATTTCTTTGTTTTTTCAAATAATTCTTTCTTTTTGTGTTTCCTTCTTTTTCGTCCTAAAATATTCTACAATGCGTTAAATTTACTACTAAATTTCCCTTAAACAGCAAATGCAAATTTTCTTTTGTATCGATGACGAGTACACACGTTATTAAACAAAACAGTGCCACCTTTTCATGACGAGTATACTCGGCATAGACAAAAAAAATGTCACCGTTTCATGAAGAATATACTCGACACAAACATCGAAAGGGTTAATTACAGTGCGTAGCTGCGTGCTGGGTGATCGCGACGCGTACTCGCGTGCCAGGAAAAATCGGTCCGTGAATGTGTGTCCTGTATACATATATGTATACAATAATACCTCTGAACGTGTGTGCTGCTGTTCGTGTTTTTGAACGTGATTCTTTCCCGAGCCCGATAAACGTCATGGACTGAGAATGAATGCGACCGAGGAGATTCCTCCGGTATGGTGTAAGGGGGTGGGGGTAGTTCGGGCCAGGAAATGTATACGTACTCGTGCGTCGAGAACGGAAAGTAGAGAGAGAGCCGTCGCGGCGATTCCGAAAGCTACGTTTCTCCCGGTTTCAGCATAACACGTACCTTGTGTGTGTTCCGTGTTTCTTTCCCATTGTCTCCGGGGGTGGGGGGTTGAGAATGGCCCCAAGAAACGTGTTTGCTCGTGCGAAAATTCGTGCGTCCTCGGGGGACAGATCGCTTGCCTCGAGTCACGTGGGACATTTTTGCGATAGTTTTACTACTCCTTCCTTTATTACATTCTTTGTACAGTAGACTCGCGTTAAAGTAGCGGTGTGGGTTCTCGAGGCAGTGTTTTTCCTGGAAACGCTACTTTAACGTAAGCCAACGGGCATGCAGGAACTCGTGGCAGTTCGGTCGATCCACCAATTGGATCAGAACTTTGGTTACAAATGACGACCGATAGTGTGAGCTGGTTCGTTCCTACCGTTACTTTAACGCGAGTCTACTGTACTTTGACAAAGTCCTTGAAGCCCAAAATCTTAGGATAGGGGATTCTTACAGCAGAAACCACACTGGTAGCGTCTTGTGCGCGTCTCGAGAGCTAAGCATCTTCGATCCCCCGACGAGGAATAGAACCATCGAACAACGATCACTCGTTTTCCTATAGAAAAAACGATTGCGTTTTTTCCCTTTTCTGCACGGATTCGCGCAATATACGGCCGGCTGATACACGGCCTGATTACACAAGGGGGCGGGGGGTGTGTGAGGGGTGGTGGGAAGAAGGGGTGAAGCGTGAAATGACGCGGGTTACCAAGAACACACTGAAGCCACTCTGGCAGCGCAATAACACTCCACTACTTTAGCAAGCAATAACTACTACTCTAAACGTAGAACACAACGATTGGCGCAGCGATTTGAAAAGAATGTTGAATATCCCTGGTGATTATATTCAGGGTGTCCCGAAATATCTTCGACTCCCGGAAATGAGGGGTTCCTGGGATGATTTGAAACAACTTTTTCCTCAGCGAAAATGTTATCCGAGGCTTTGTTAACGAGATATTAACGAAAAACCCGGACGCGTTGGGCTACGCCCTACGATTGGTAACGAACGCTACCGCGGAAGCTCGGCCGACAGACGCGCGCTCTGATTGGTCGGGGTTTTTCGTTAATATCTCGTTAACTAAGCCTCGAATAAAATTTTTACTAAAGAAAAAGTTGTTTCAAATCACCCCAGGAACACCTTATTTCCGGGAATCAAAGCTATTTTGGGACATCCTGTATAGAGCCGAGCCCCGCGCGGATGTACGCGTATCCACCTTCGAACGAGCTAAATGTTTGTGTGTGTGTGTGTGTGTGTGTGTGTGTATTTGTGTTTGTGTGTGAGAGAGAGAGAGCCGCGCGATATGTGCTCGCTCGTAAACGGATGCGCGTACCCGTTTTACCGTAATGTAATCGCGTACCCACGTTTGGTACGAAACGATACACCCGATGATAAAATAATATGTACATTGACGGTATGATGAGCGTGACACAATCGTCGATCAAGTGATTTGTGATATACATATATAGAGAGAATAATAATAATAATAATAATATATGGATATGAATATGCCGACATGGGTAGAAATAGCTTAAGGACCTGCTTCTGGGCCATCGACTGCATCTGCTGGAACATGATCCTTTCCTCCTCTTTTCCTGGAACAGCAGAAAGCAACGAGAAGCTCTTGGGGGGTCTGCTCGGTGTCCAGTATTTCGGACGGTCTCTGTCTGCGTTTCACGATTTATAACATCAATTTTATTTCTCGTTAATTGGTCCCATTGAGTTCGTGTGATATTTGAAGTGGTGGTGGGGTTGAAGAATGACGAGATGTACTTTTGAAGGGCGACGAGAATGACGAGAAGCTTTGCTCGATGAAGGTTTCACGAGAGTGCAATGGCGACGAACAGGGACGGGGAGAGACTCGCTAATGCGTGCTAAAGTCCGTGGGCTTGTCAGACGTTTTTGATAGTTCTGGGCCCGATATTTCTCGGGAATACGGTTTCAGGGAACAAGTTCCTCGAAATCAGCTCGGGTTGGGAGGCATTCTCGTTTCGAAACGAGCTCCTTTTGTGAATATTTACTCGGGAACGAGACACTCTTTAGTCATGAAGATAATTGGAGGTTATCATGAATGATTTATACAGGGTGCGGCAGAATTATATGTACAAACTAGTACGAGGTGATTCCTAATGAAAAAATAAAATTTTTTCATTTAAGCCTAGCGCGTCTGTTCATTGCATTCCGTTTCTACTTACTATTATGGTGAATGCACGTGTTTCATATTAATTTTCAAAGTTGATATTCTCGAAATCGAAGCCTTGAATATAAAAATTTTATTCCATATTTTGTTCATATTTTTCTATAAGGAATCACCTCGTAACCGCTTGTACATGTTATTCGGTCGCACCCTGTATGTGTGTGTGTGTGTGTGTGTGTGTGTGTGTGTGTGTGTGCGTGCGTGTGTGTGTGCATGTGTATGTTATGCTAGAAAATTTTCCAGGGGACATAACCGCACGATATCGCACTCAATGTTTCCAGGGGACTCGGGGAAATTCGGCGAATATCGATCGTTACCGTTTTCGCCCCAACCCCGTTCTCTATATAACCATCCCCTTTATGATTATTAGCCCCGAGAAATAGTTGGTGTTTCGCGGGGGGAAAGGGGTAGGCGTGTAATCTCACGGAAATGGAGAACGCACGGTTCAACCGAATCCCGGTTTAAATTGATAGAAACTTCACTTCCAGGAATTCACGCTTCTCTCTTTCCATGTGTACATGGCTCGTTTCTCCGACCACTAAGAGGACAGAGATTAGGCAATATGAAGATTTCTAAGATTCTAATCCCTCCATTGAAATATAGATTTCTTTTGGGGCACGGGGTGGGGGAGTGTCGGTGCACTATCGTGAAAGTTATTAGTCCGTTTGTCGTTCTTCTGAGTCTGCACGGCGAAGAATACAAATAGTTATTCGCATATAGCATCGTTGACAAGGTAAAGTGAGCTGGATAGAATGATTTTCGTTGTTCGATTAAAATGATAGGATTTCCTGTGCGTTAACCCTTTCATGCCTGAATTTTCTTTTAAGAGTAGAAAAAATATTTGGTTATATATATTAACTGAGTAGACTGTTTAGGTGATATTTTGTTTAAAAGATCTTCTTTAAATTTATAAAGAAAGGTTTGTTATTCAATTCTGAATTCGCTAGACCTGCTAAAAACCTTCGTAACATGAAAAAATTCAAATTTATAAAAAGAATATGGATCTGCAACACACTGTACCTAAGGCTTTGTGTGAAATGTACACAAATGTGGCCAACAGGTATGAAAGGGTTGAATTAATTACGGTTCCACTAAGATGGATTGGTCGATTAAAGATTTTGTCGAATGAGGTCAAGATAATGAAGTCAAGATGTATCTGTTGCTAGAACACTATGCAGAAAAATCGGTAATCGTAGAATGAAGCGCAGTTTGGTAGATAATCATTACAGGACAAATGCTCTTTGGTCCTTTTCTACTAATAAAAAAAAAATCCCAAAAAAATACGTGAACGTTTCAGCGTATGAGACTAAACTGGACCTGAAATGAATCGTTCGAAAAAATTTCTGAATTCTAGATACATTCGACTGGCAATTCCATTGATTTGCCTTCCTTCATTTCAGCTCCGTGTAATAATAGGAAAGTGTTCTACGCGATGGTCGCGCGAACGATGCAACTTTACTCAACGAGAGATGACAGCGTGTGCGTGAGGGAGAAAAAATTCGAAAGGTATGCCTCACCCATCCCCTTGTTTTGGAGCATCTCGAGGAGCTTCTTGATACTTTCATCTCGAGCCTGCAACGTTTGCTTTTGCGTCTCTATTCGCAACTCCAGCTCCTGCAACAGAGAAAAAAAACCGTACGGTGGTTTTGTAGAATTGGCGCCGGCGACGGCCTTGTAATCCTTGATTAAATTCTAGAAAATTTATCGCGACCGCGAACAGTCGGGGGGAGAGACGCTATTGCAATCTTCGTGCGGTTCGAGGGGAACGGTGGAAAGAGCAAAGAGTTCGTGGTGCGCTTTGGTGGATAATAAATTCATTGTTATTATTGTCACAAACTCGATTCGCTGAAAATTGAAAGACCAAACGGATAGAAACGAAGGAAAGGGTGGAACAGTGTATCGGCGAGGGAACCGAGGTCGGCCACGCTTTTCCGGTGCTCGGTTGTGGAAGGAAACTGGATTGGCCAGCGGGTGTCTAATTCCAGGCTAATTACGTTGCTGTCGTCAAAGGAGCGGTCTAAATTCGTTATACGGGGCGTCAAGCAACGCCACTGTCTACACCGACGATGCAAGCATAATTCGTGCTTTTCCCAGATAGCAGAATTCGTCGTATATATACTTCAATTTTCATTCCGTTTACTCTTCCCCTGGCGAAGGAGCTGACCGAAAAGTGTATTACTATCCAAAGAGTGTCATTAATTACAAAAAGTGGAGTCTGTATGACACTTTGCAATTTCCTAATACGTTCCTTAAAACGCCATCTCGGGACACGTATAAATGTTAATTCGAATCCGACCCCGTCCAAATTTACAGTATGACTCAGACATATCGTTCACAGACTTCTGAAATTAACAATCAGGTGAAAAGCTTTTATGCAATTTCAATGAATATGCGTGCAGTGAATATCCGTTTATCGTTGGTAGTTCTATTGTTAACCAGAGATAGGCACAATTTTATTCGAATAATACATAATGAGAAGCAGCAGTATCTAAAATCGTCATCCTGATCTTTAAACAGTTCATGAGATTAAATAATTGTTCGCAAAGTGTCTATTCATTTAAGAAGAAATATTATTTTATGATAAAAATTGGAATTGCCACGTTCAATCAAGTAAAAATGACGAAATATTTTGTTCATCTTTTATTCGTTATTCGAAACTTTTTATCTAGATAATCGGCAGCTCGAGTGGTAGCGATCGACGATGATCGAGGTCGCAGCGAAGACGAGGAACGCGCGAGGAAAACGGTACCGTTCGGAGCCAATGGACCACGGATTTGACAATAAAAGCCGCGAAAGGGTGAGATAGGGGAGGGGGGGAGAGCAGTCAGAAAGCGACTGCATAATTTGGCCTGTGGCCAAAGGCGACCAGTTGCTTCCAGTGCGTTGCACGTTTGACCTGTCTGCTCGACCGATCCGGCCCCGACAGGGTTCTCCGCGCGCGCATACATACATACACCAAACGTGTGTTAAATCATTCGGCAGAATTTTGCGATCGGCGCCCGTCGAACGACGGGCGGATTTAGAAACCGGGGTTCTTGAACTTTCCCGGTCTTGTCCGTGCCCCTGGCCGCCGTTATTTTTGGAACGACCGTCGCCGATCGATAGACGGCCGCGATAAGATTGCTCGGTCGGTCTTCGTACTCTATCGATCCTCCCCCCCCCCCCTCGATGCCGGTCTCTTCTTTGTACAGCGGAGGAATTACTTTATTTCTAAAGGTGAATCAAAGTCCAGAATCTGGTTAAAATTTAAAAATGGTGGTAAAGAAAACAACAATCAGAATAATGACGATTTTAATAGAGCAGTGAACAAGGTATAGCGTGTACAGTAAATTCTCGATGAGTGCTCGAAGGCACTGAATATGAAATATTTCATAAACTAATGGCCATATACGACTGAAACAAATGTCACTGGCTTCGGAATTACCAAGCTGGGAACCTCTCCTTGTCAGTGCTGAAGAGCCTTCTAACATTCATCGAGGATATACTGTATATCTAAAGATTAACCAGATTTGCTCTAGATTGTCCCCTCCGAAGAGACAATTCGAAATTACGTGTATTCAAAAGGTTAAGATACATCGGGGGTAAGGTGAGATAATCGTGGAGAGTATAAAATAGATCAGCGAAAGGTGAAACGATCAGTTTGTCCGCGAACACAATGGAAAGGAAAGGGATTAATACGGGAGGGAATGTAGACAGAAATGGAATGGACTAAGTGGATGAAATGGAAAATTCAAGCGATCAGACGTTTCCAGCGAATCACGATCCTTCGAATTCTTCGAAATGTCGAGAAAACACACCTTATCGGTTATTTAAAACCGCGATCTAATTCTACGCCGTGATGAGAACAGAGCCTCCCCGCCCCTTCGGTTGTTCCGTGGTCGGTTTATTGATCCAGGGTTATTCCGGAGGAACGGGGATCTGCTTTCGGCGCCACTGGTGGGCAGAAGACTCAACGGAGTTATTGCGGGGAGACTGATACCCGTTGCCAAGATTTCCGGAAGCATCGCGAGAACCCGTTGCCAGACAATCGGTCGTTTACCTCGGACAAGGCCTAAACCCTCTCTTGTCTATTTCGGTTCCGGGGAGTTCGGCCGCGTCCGTCAAACCGCGCGCCGTGGGATTAGTCAAATGATTCTCGCCTGCTAAATTCGTTTGTTCTCTGTCAGAACGTTGATTAAAGCGGATTCCAACCGATCGTTTTAGAGCTTACACCAGTCTCCGATTGTATAACTGACTCTTTGCTCTTCCAACTATTATCCAGTTTAAATACAGTTCGTGAATAACTCAAATTTTTTCGCGGTAGTCGCAGAAATAAAAGACCAGAGCCTGTTTTATTAACAATTTTTTATATTTTATAAACTTTGTGGGAAGTTATTGGTCAATTTTCCTTACGACCTGTTACGTACGGCAAACGCAGGGATTATATAAAAATTTCGACATTTACGGATTAAGTATCGATATGTACTGGAACATATCGTCACATTAAATATCGATGCAAACTACCAATATTTTAATTGGAATGTATCGATATTCGAAATATCGATTCTGTATCGCCCATCACTAGTCAAAAGGCTCCGACAACTCGTAAAAGAATTCGTATGGCAAGGGGTTAACACGCTCTCGTTCTGTATTGCGTACACTTCTCCTCTTTGGCGAAGAAAAATACAATGAAAACGAACACAAACGTCGCTCACCTTTATCGTATCACGAAGTATGCCGATCTCTCGCGTAAGGTGCTCGTTCTCGTTGTACAAAACTTCGATCTGCTGCTGCATCTCGACGCTCGGCCCGCGCATCCTCATTCTGAGCTCCTCCTCCAATTGTCGCACCATCATGTTTTGCTTCTGCAATCGAAAAAGAAACACATTCTGTAAGTTACACTCACCCGAGGAAAACCGTGCGCGCTCCGCCGATACGTATATATTTATAGCAAAAGTGCACCGTTGGATTCTATCGCGTTGATTCAACGATCGTTTTACTTCCCCCGGCAATTTGCCGCGCGGGCAAACGATCCCCAGTCTAGCCCCGTCGACTTCCGTGGGCTCGTTACCTTTAGAAATACACTTTTACGAGAATAATTGCACACTCGAGCCACATGAAACTACTTCAAGCATGAAACTGATAAGCGGATCGATAGGCGAAGGGAACGCGAGGCAAAAAGCTCGCGGTCTCACAACGGCGAAACTAAATACGTCCGTCACAGAAGGGGACCGTTGGTTTTCCTGTTGTTTCGGACTCACCTTGAATCGAAAATCTTACCAACTAATAAAAGTTTTACCTCAACCCTATACCGAATCGACAATCTTATCCACTGGTTAAATTTTTACGTAAACCTGTCTATCCTAATCACGTACGACAGACCCTATACTGTCACGCTAATCATCTATGTTTTACTGCACAAAGATCATCTTTTTTATGTATCTGGACCCCAGGGCCAGAGTAAGTGTAATGAGTCCACTTAAAAAAAATGACATTGTTTCCTGTATCAAATATTTCACTCTTTAAAGTCTATCACATTGAGGAATTAATTCACCATTTCTGCATATAGAGACTTGTCTTAAGACTATTCAATAGTACGAAGGTAGCGATTTTTTCTTACTCAATTCTTACCGAACGATTCGAAAGCTACGTTTTCGCACCTCTGATCTGCTGTCCTCTAAAGTTTGAGAAGTAATTGACTGTGCAATACAAACAAATAATTAACGTGTTTTCGTCACGATAAGCTTCCATTTCGACGAAAACATCTATGGACAACCGATGTTTCCACGGAACACACGGTTTCTATACAAACCTACAGTTCATCTCCTCTGAAAGCTGCTTTATTCTCACTCCCTCCCACCCCCAGTTCAATTGTATCAGACTTTACGATGCAGCCCGCATAAATTCGTTCTGTTTGCGCGAAAGAACAGCAACTGGCGAAAATAAGATATCGAGCGAACACGCCACCGGGCTCGGATAGAGAAAATCGCTCGATTTCAGGGAGGGATGAAAGAAGATTTGACGCCTGGAAAAGTGCTTTCCAAGGGAGCAGCACAGGGGAGCAGGAGTAACGTTGCACGAAACCCTTTTCGAGGCTGGGCAAAGTCAATATTTCTACGGAAGTTCGATCCCGGTACGTGTTCGAACAGAAAGCTTTCCCTTCCCCCCGATTTTTCCACCCTCTTTTACCCTTCTCCAGGGGATATATTTCTCTCTTGTTTCGTTCCTTCCGTCTTTTTGCGCGTCCTTTATAATAACATTTTTCACGCGTTAACTCTTCGAGACATTTCCCATCACGCTGTACCGATCACTTTATAATCTTTATGTCCGCTGTACCCCGTTGCTTCCGTATTATTACTAGACTGAGGATTTTATGCATTTATAGCCTATAGGTGTCTGTGAAATACAATGAAGGACAAAACTTGCGCTAGTTGCAACGGATTTTCTATTTTCTTTCGAGCCCAATAGGGTACTTAAATAAAGAAAGAACTTCCTAATTATTACTTCTTAATTTTTAATTAATTAACTTATTAATTGGAATTCCTGGAAGTCAGCGTCGAAATACAATAACAAACTGTTCTTAAGGACGATGAATATTTTGCACGTGATGTGCAGCTGTCCAAGAATCCTTGATTTATAACAAGGTTCTGCTCAAAGGGAACAATTAACAGGGAAATAAAATAACAAACACGAAAGCGTATCGAAATAAAAGATTTTGTGTTCTATATAACAAATCTCCTAATCGGTAGTTGTTCGTGGATTCTTGTTGATTTATAGATTATATGGAATCAATGGGCATTATTTAACAGGAGCATCATGGCTCGGTGGATCAAAGGCGACGATATTCGGTGGGGTGCGACGTTCCACCGAAACCAGAGGCGTTCGATAAAGCCGATCGACCTGATTTCATTTTACGAGGAAGCAACGTCGCACAACGCGCTGGGGGATGTGGAGATCGAACCGTCCCCCCCACCAGGCATGTGACGTCAGTTACCCCCATAACGAAATCACCCCACGAGAAGCCATGGCCGAATTCCCCTGTAGACCGATAGCCTACTTTTTCACGCAGTGGTTCCGAATTGACGACCCAGCTAAAAATCCCTCGATTTATTTGTTCTCGCAACGATTCTTTTTTTGTAATAATAATAACAGGAGCTTGTTGAACAGAATCACCAGAGGATGTTAGCATATTGTATGCCATGAAACATTATTAAAGTTTTAAATATATTGTTTTGTACAAAATATAACCTTATAATCTGATTTTTAAACCGAAAAATTTAATATTTAGTGTATTTTACTGTTAACCTTAAAAAAAATAATATTTATACAGAATGTATTTTGAGGGTAAGACATCAAAAGAATAGTAAAAAGAAAGATTAAATAAAAATCCACAGTAAATTAGTGATTAGAGCGACTTCTTAAAATCCCTTGCTGACGTAACCAGGTCGCCAAAAATGACCCACGCCAAGCCAAGTGAAACGCGCAAGATAGCCGGCATACAATGTGTTAAACAGAATGATCAGAGAAAAAATCGAAGATCAACGGATACGTTCGCTTCCACTATTACCATTATTAATTCGGACAGTCTGAATTAGTTGAACGTATTACGGGCAAAGTCGTAGCAGCATTGTTGAACACAATATCTTCCAGGGACAGAGGACGTATCTATGTACGTGACCAAAGAAATATTTTATAGCTCGTACGGAACAGTAAAAGCGTTCCGGACGTCTGTAATATTCCGCAGCGTGTCGTCGTCGTTGGATTATGTTTGCCCAGGCATGGACCTTTGTGCCCGCCTAGCGGCGGCTGGTTTCTACTGAAACGAACGGCATTACGCAAGGGGAATGGGGATTAACATTTTACTACCGTCTGTTTCATTGTCTTCATGGTTCGGTTGTTTGCGCGCGTGGAAGTTCGTAACAACATTTACGTTACGGCGGAGGGTTGAACGATTTAATTTAGGTCATCGTAAGATGTACCGCCCGTTTTATCGTTCGATCATTTATGGTCATCGTGAATTGCACGTGAGAAAACGATCGTTAATAAGAATTATTATACCGGAACGGTGACACAAACTCAAGGGGTGCTTAATTTTAAGGGACGAAAACAGAAGAGAGAAGCTTTAGGGCCCGTTTTAGCGAAATTTAGGAATTTTGTTTTAAAGAAAGCAAAGATGATACGGTAAAAATACTTCCTGACCTTTAGTTTCTTTTTCGTAAATAAAAAAAATGTTTCTTTCAATATTTGAACAATTGCACTGTACAGAAACGCGTTTTTTGTTTTGTGCAAAAAATTCCTAAATACAGTGTTCGAACAGGAGAACTGCTTCAGAGCCTGATATATTTGTTTTCTGCCCAAAGCCCGAGCCTCGGCAACAAAATCCGGAGTGGGGGCAACAAATTATCCACTCGACAGGTTCCATGCGCCCCGTCCCCCTCCAATGTGGGGATGACGAAAAAAATCGTGTAGAACCAGTCGGACAGTGATCGACAGAATACTGTATTACCTTTTTTATCCGGCCTCTAAAAGGGAAAGGGGCTTTAAAAGAAGAGCAATCCCATGAGAATTCCAATCCTCATTTTTTCTCTCGTCACCGTTTACATCCTCGTCGAAGGGTAAACAGCGGAATAGACGTTTTGGCAGGTCGTCGGCGTCCATTAACGGCGTTACAAGGGACAGCGGGTTGTTTTCACGACAGGGGAGTTACTCCAGTCCCATGTAAGAAGAAACGCCGCCAGATAGGGTTTACGCGATCGTTAATAGGATCTCGTCTTAAGAGGGCTTCGTTTAAACTTTAAACCCCCCTCTCCCCCCTGTATTCCTTCTTCCTCCTCAGTCATTCCGCGTTCGATCCGACCGTAAGTGTGTCGATGGACGATACCAATCGCACCCCCTGAGATCGGGTTCCGCGCCGCGTCGAGGGTTAATCGAAGGCTAATCGTTTCGAAACCAGAACACGCGACACCCCTGTAACCGACACTCCCCTACCCCACCCCCCTTTCGCGTCCACTCCACCCATCAACCCCTTAGTACGATCTCAGTAACGCTTCCGAGCTAGGGGAAGACGCTTTTGCGTTGCTTTTTATGGAACCCAAGATAAGGAGATGGTCAGAGATTCCTTTTTTTTCTTGCAAACCGATAAAAAAAACCCTCCCCCTCCTTGTTATAAAAAAGAAAGAGGAATCGTGAATGCGGCTTCGTGGAAGCCTCCGACACCGAGTATTCTTTCCACGACGCTATAACGAGCTTCCGAGAAATAGACGAAATGGGTCGCAAAACGTGACGTGCTTTCCACCACCCCCCTGCCCCGTGGAACCAGGCAACGCGCGCGCGACGAGACCGTTCGCGTTCCGTTTTCCTAGAGGGGTCGTTGCACGATAAATCGATCTCTTCCGGGTGGTGCATGCGTTTTTTTTTCTTTAAATAGTTTATTTTTCTTTTTCGCTCCAACCGTCCACGATCGTAAATATCACGGATTAGATATGCATCGTGAACAGAGTCGACAGCGGCACGTGTTCGTTGAACGCCATGTTTATGACGGCCTCCTGATTATTAAAGGGTCGTGTGGAGGGCGATACGAAACTGTGCTCGTGACTTTTTTCGTTGCAAAATTCGATAAAACTCAGTCTTATCGTGGTGGTCCTCGTAGTAAACTTTGATAATCTAATTGCCCCCCCCCCCCACACACACACACACCCGTAGATTCACAAACATCTTCGTAAATTCATAATTTCATACAGGACGAAAGGGTAACACGAAAGGGTAACACGAAGGTGAAACGAACGTAAACGTTTCTTAACCATCAGCGAAATTTTAATTCTGTTGGGGGAGGGGGGGGGGGTGACGGCGTTATAATGGTTCGTTT